TTTGAATCTAATATCATCGAAGCTGACGTTTTAACTGAGGAGTTCACATGGCTTACCCACGGTGTTTTTGTTACTACGCAGATATTTAGAGACTTGATAATTTTGGTATATTCTTGGTATATCCTGACTATATGGTATTATGTCTCAAGATTATTATGTATTCTATATGAAGCTCTTTGAAAATAAGGTTAATCATGATATTTAGAGATAGTTTTGTCTAAAGTTTTAAAAAACTGACTTTGCATTACTTTTGTAATTAATTTATATCAGTTCTTTCACTTTTAAGCATATTAGTTTTATAAATTAATCATGACCATATTAAGTTTGTCTTCTGCAGATAAGTTTTTACTTTGCTGATTTGCTGGAAATTTGACCAAAATATCTCAACAAAGAAATGGACTATATTGGACTCATGAAAAGGACTGTGATATTTTCAATGTGGATACTACTAGACTGAATCAAAATTTCCAGAACTCTTATATAGAAGCTGATGTGTTCCCAGACTGTGGCTGATCTAGAATCATATGGAACAGAGATTAAGTACACAGGACTGAGTAGACTAAAGGATTACTATGGGTTTTATGTGGGAGTATTGCTGATGTTTCAAGGTCCTACTTTCTGGATGAAAGAAACCAATTTCCTCCTTTCTCCTAAATTATCTAACTAATGAATTTAGATATTGTGACTCTAAAATTAGAAGTTACTGTTGGTAAACCTAGCAAAGTTGTAAATATCATAACCAGAGAAGTGTCTGAAGTTCACGCTATGATTTTACAAAATAGAATGGGATTAGATTTCCTGTTAGTCTCCTAATGTTGCTGTGTTTATATTAATACACAGTCGGAGGTTTTGCAGGATATAGTTGTCACTGAGGCACATGAATAGCAATTACTGATGCTACTTATGTATAAACAAACACCTCATGAGATTTGTTTCCTTGGTTCAAAGATCTTAGGGTCATGGTTCCATTAGTTATTTCAGACAATTTGCCGAATATCATTGTTAGTGTTTCTGTTCCAACTCCTAGTTGGCTGTGTGGTGCCTGGATCTTAAAAACCAAATAGTGCCCAACTACCATTACTGAACATTTTTGATCAGAGATTCTACAGCAGGATCATGATCAAAAGGAGAGAATGACAAAAGAGTTGTAATTCTCCTGTAGTCCAGATTTCTAGCTTTCATGGAAGTCGGGGTAACCAACACAGGCCATTGCCCTTGGGTGTCGTTTCAAACCTTGAGCTTTGGGAAAAAACTGGTTCTTGAAGCCACTTTTGAGTCAATGGTCCAGACAAACTAGTAAGACCATTTTGCTCTGAGTGTTGTTCCTTTTTGAAGAATTCAGTCTGTTTCAGAAACAGACTCCAAAGATCAGACTGGGAGCTATGTTTAGGGTAAATCACTAATTATTTTCATTGGTCTTAAGATAATGTTGCATGAAATGCCCGTTTGATGTCTATAATCAAACTGTCACCCCCCCCCCCCCGCTATGCAGAAAAGTATGTGTCTTGAAGAAACCATGTTCTCAGAGGGATCGACCTCATACCTTGAGTCAGCCTTTTGGGAAACCAAAGAGTTCTTCCAATGTGGCCTTGCCCCTGCACTTAGCCTAATTTAAAATCACAGAAGCAGAGCATCTGAGTGGAAGAAGACACACTAATAATGGTGAGCAAAGAATTTGTATGAAAATTCATGATAGGAAGAAGCCAATGTGTGAGGGCACCCTAAAACTGAGGCACTTGGCCTAACTAAAATGGCTGACACAAGGTCTGGCTTGGACTCCATTTTATCTTAGGCTCCACTTCTGCTTCTAAGAAAGTGACCCAGGACTGTTGGTGGGAAAAGGGGGGGCAGTTTGCCCTTGGGAAGAACACTTAGTATGTTTTAAATAGATTAAGACCTCCAATGGGAGGGGTCCATCCTGTATTATCTTGCTAATCATGTATTTTTTAAAACCTTAACTGAATGTTTTTCTTCTACTTTTGGTTATTCAGGAGGTCTCATGCCTTAGGCCACCTGGACTTTAAACTGTATTTCAAAAATGCCAACCAGTAAGTACAATATTATAAAGACTATTTTTCACAGGCTAGAGAGGCCTTTGATAAATGGAAACTAGACTCTCCAGGGCTGCCTGATGTCACCCCGAAAGATTACGTATATTGGAGGAGAGATCAGTTAAAGGACTCATCAGAACCCCGCTGGAATGGACAGAAACTTTCCCTCATCACCAATCCATATGCAGCTGAACTGTGGAAGGTGTTAAATCTTAGATACGTTTGTCACAGGTTAAAGGAACTAAGCATTCATTTGGACTTGCCAATCATCTGGAAACTTAAAATTGAAGCTGAAACATCCTAGCAGGCAAAAGCAGATGACTGCACCTGAAGTGGACAGCTTTCCCAAGGTCGTGGAACAAGACCTCTCACCCATTCTGTCTAATGCAAGCCCCTGAGGTCATTGGACTTTGTTTAAATCCTTATTGCTTTTGAGGTTGCTTTACATTGGCAACTTGAGATTATTGACTGGTAGGAATTTTCCATATAGACTATCAATATATTTACTATCTGTTTTCATATTCATTGCTATCTGTATGCTGGTTGCTGTATTATGTATATATTGTTGGTATCATTCCTCGATCTCATGCTATTCTTTTTCCATGTAAATAAGAGAAATACTTATTGTTAGTTTAAACTTTTAGTGATATTTTGCTATTCACTCTGTTATTTTACTAGAGTTGTTACTGGCATGTGTTATAAACATTTGTTGATGCCCTAACCCTCACCTCTTTTCCTTGTTGCTATTCTTTCATTCCTCAGATTACCCATAGTGTCATTCTCTGCTCTAAGATCTTAAGCAGATATGCCAAAAGGCAACCTTGCTTCATGTACTCCCTATGTCTGATTCACCTTTCCTTGACATCTTTAGTTGGTTATCTAAAGGTGCTGGATCATGGGTTCAATCCATATTATTTACTGGTCTACTAATCAAATGTTGTCCCATGTTGTCTGATTACTCAGAACATCAATTTGACACCTATGAAGAGAACTGTACTCATATTTCAGACAGACTCGAACTCACTCCTTCAACCAGCCCCTTTAAAGCCAGGTTATTCCTTAACACTGCCCACTCTGTATGTCATTCCAAGGTTAACTCCACAGAAGTAGAGGCTCCAGCTATGGCATGGTGAAGATTTTAGATGGTGCACAGCTATTTATAAATAGTGTCTGAGGTCTTAAAGGCTCACTCTAGTAAGCAGCCATCTATAACAGCCTGTGAAAGACAGCAACAAAATAAAGTTCTCTTTCTTCAAACATATTCTAAAAATGCTATCCTACTGAGAAATATAAATCAAAGTCCGTGCAGAAGAAAACACGCTCCCGTAAATGGTGGTTGATAATGTGATCAAAGAATTTCTCAGAAATTCTTGATCAAAAGGAGGCAATGAATAAGAACTTCAGAACAGAGGTGCCTTGCATATTTAGGTGGCTGGCCTAGGAGCAGCCCTGACTCCATTTTGTTACAAGCTTGTTCTGCTGCATTCCTGAGAATGTAACTTTGACTTCTTCCCATTCATATGCATATGGATGGGTGGAACCAACAGACAATGTGGCTAAGACTGGGAGCTTGGACAAGCCCAGGAAAGTCCAGTGAGGGTCAGCCAATCAGGATCTTTCTGGGAGGTTCCTGATTCTACTCTGTATCTATCCTTGTGAAACAGCCATCCCTTGGATTCATTGATCTTCACTCTATGTGGGCTAATGTCTCCCCATTCGAATGTTGTTTATGCTTTCAATAAATCTCTTTGTTTTACTTTAACAGAGTCTGAGAGTTTCACTCTACAACAGTGGTTGTCCTCCATTTTGTGATCTGATGAAATTATCCTCCATTTTCTGATGTGTTGTAAATCCTAACCTCTAAATGTTAATGAGACAGGATTAGGGTGGGTGTATCTTGAGTCACCACCTTCCGAGGGTCACACCTTTACCCTTAGTGAAGTTACACCTTTACTTGAGTCACATCTTTTATCTTATAAGAGATAAAAGGAGAGAGAAGCAAGCAGAGACAGAGGGACTTGACTACTACTAAGAGAGAAGAACCAGGACAGAGCACTTTTTTTGAACTCAGGGTCCCTGTGCTGAGAACCTCCTAGACCCAGGGGAAGATTGATGCCAAGACACATGGAGATCTCTGAGGAATGCTGGGTACACAGATGTTGAAAGGAGACAAGGACCTTCCCCCAAAGCTGACATAGAAAGCCTTCCCCTAGAGCTGGTGCCCTGAATTTGGACTTCTAACCTCCTAAACCGTGAGAGAATAAATTTCTGTTTGCTAAAGCCATCCACTTGTGGTATTTATGTTATAGCAGCACTAGATAACTAAGACACTCCCAGATACACACCTCCCACCCTCAGTCACTTGCTCTGGCCATGCGGCCTCCTCCTGGCCTTGCATCTCAGCCCTGGGGCTGCAGTGCCCTGGCCTGGGCACTCGTCCTTGGGTCTCAGCTGGAATTGTCTCCTCCTCCCTGGCTCCCCCCATTGCCTCCTCGGCCTCCCCCGTGACCCTAGCCTTGCTCCGACACTGTTGTGGGCATTTGCTTCCTTCCTTGCTGACTGAGATTTCCCCAGCCCCTTGATCTGTGACCCATGAAAACGGGTGTCCTCTCCACAGCCACAGCTGTCACTGTACGTGGTCTGGAACTGGAGCTGAGTGGATCATCAGACTGAGGCCAGACTGAATTTACCAAAAAGCCCTGTGGTGATCCTGGCACAGCCAGTCCGTGGACCTGCTCTTGGCCTACCACTGTAAGCCCATCTCCTTGGCTGTGGTGTGGGAGGGCCAGTCCTGGCAGGGCTGCAGGGAGCGCTGCATCAGGGTTCTGCCCCACGATGTAGCTCAGCCCCGCTGTCCTAAACATCCACTTGGAAGAAAAGCTTGGCTGCAGCGGCTTTGCCTGGTCACTGGCACAAAGGCTGCTCCTGCCACCTGCAATGCAGTCTCACCTCGCGTATCCATCACCTGGATGAGGTAGTTGTCTCTCCCATCCCTCCGCGCCACTGTATAGTTAATCCAGCAGCCCTCCGAATCTCGTTCCTTGCAAAGCCAGCCAGAGAGGGGTACCTCGGACAGCTTCATTCCCGGGCACTCCTTGCTGCAGTTCTTCTCAAAGGGGCCCTTTAGGAATTTCAGGCACTCGGCACAGGAGCTGCAGGCAGGAGGAGGCTGGTGAGGGCAGGTGTGCAAGAGCATGTGCAGGTGCCCCCCGGGGTGTGTGAGAAGGTTGGCGAGTGTGAGAGAGTGTGTGGATGTGTGGGTGTGTGCAAGAAAGTGCATAGGTGTGCAAAGGGTGTGCAGGATGAGAAGGGTGTGTAGGGTGTGCTCATGTGCAAGAGGATGCACGAGTGCACACAGGCATCTTTGGGAGTGCAAATGGATGCGTGTGTGTGTACTCTAGTGTTCAAGAAGGTGCACGGGTGCGTGAAGGTGTGTGGGCGCACACAGGTGTGCAAGAGGGTGTGTGCAGGTTTGGGGTCTGGTGCTGTCAGGCAGAGCGCTTGAGGTGCCCGGCCTTGGATGAGGGGACCCAGCCATGGGGTGGCTCTGTGTGTGGAGGTGGGCATAGCAGCTCCCAGAGGGCAGTCCTCCCACTGTCGGCCCCTGCACTCACACGTAGCGGCTGCAGGGCGAGGGGCAGCCCGGACACTCTTCACACAGGGGTGGCTGGTAGCCGGGGTCACACTCACACACGTTGCAGCGGCAGCGCCCGCGCCCACTGCACACAGCCTTCTGCTTGTTCAAGCAGCCTTTGGTGGACTTGAGGCACTGGCATGCCGAACCTTCGAACTCCGGGGAGCATTGGCACTTGCCACACTCACATTTCCCCCTCTCTGCAAGACAGCAGAGGCTGGCCTCAGCCCCTTGGACGCCAGACCAGAACCCCACGGACCAGTCACTCCTCTGCCACGCCCCCGCCCCTCTGCTGTGCCCCAGCCCCTCTAAAGCACCCCTTCCCCTGCACTGCCCCAGTGCCCCCCCTTATCAAGCCCGTGTTCCCCAATGTTACAGCGAGGGTACCCGTGGGGACCGAGGTGGGACCCGCACAGCTCCCTCCTTTCTTGTCTTCAGGTTCTGACTCCCTCCCTCCCTCCCCCCGTGGCACCTGGAGCTGGGCCAGCAGCCACGGGGCACTCGGACAACCCACTAGGCCCCCCTGTCCACCAGCATCTCAGCCACTGACCACCTCGTCTTCTAGGCCAACTTCAACCAGCCTGGGCCTCCTCCTGCCCACCTGTGCCCAGGGCCACCTTGCCTGCCCTGATCCCATGGGGTTGTGTGACTGTGAATGACAGCTGCCATCCCTGATCGCCCACGGCGTAGACCCCGTGGGATCCTAGCCATGAGGATTGCTGGTCCTCACAGATCAGAATGGAGGCCGGGAGAGAGGGGAATCAACCATGTGCCTGCTACTGCTGAGTGACCAAGCCAGACCCACATGGGCCTGCCTGCCTGTGTGCCTGTCTGTGTGGATTGAATTAAAAAAAAAAAAAAAAAAAACCATTGCCATCGAGTCGATTCTGACTCACAGCGAATCTATAGGACAGAGTAGAACTGCCCCAGAGGGTTTCCAAGGAGCACCTGGTGGATTTGAACTGCTGACCTTTTGGTTAGCAGCCTTAGCTCTTAACCACTGCACCACCAGGGTTTCCATGGATTGAACAGCGTTCCCCAAAAGGTATGTTCAAGTCCTAACCCCTGGTAGCAGTGAACATGACCTTGTTTGGAAATAGGGTCTTTGAGATGTTATCAGTGAACATGAGGTCATGCTGGGGCAGGGAGGGTCCTAGGCAGTATGAGTGGCACCCTTGTAAAAGAGGAGACCCTGACAGGGAGACAAGATGGCCACGTGAAGATAGAGGCAGAGACGGGGGTGATGGATCTACAAGCCAAGGATTATGGGAAACCACCAGAAGCTGGAAGAGGCAAGGCTGAACCTTCAGAAGGAACCAACCCTGCAACGCCTTGATTTTGGACTTCTGGCCCCTGGAACTGTGAGAGAATGAACTCATGCTTTAAGCGACCCACTTCGTGGTACTTGTTACAGCAGCAACGTGAGACTCATACAGTCTCCAGTGTTCCCTCTTTCTGCTCCCACTCACTCCCTCCCAGTGCAAATGGACTAGAAAGAGTCCCTCTATGGCCAGGTTCTTTCTGCAGAAGGCAGAGGGCAGCTGTGCGGCGCCCACGGTCAGGGCCTGAGGGGCTGTGGGGGACGCCCTTGGGCTGTGGACTCACTCTCTCCGCCGCATATCTGGCCTTCGTAGCGCTCACAGTTGAAGGTGTCACACTCGCAGTAGCGCCCGTAGATGCGCTTCTTGGGGTCCTCAGTCCTGTGACAGACGCACTCCCCGCAGATACATTCACCCAGCCCGGAGCACACAACGGAACTGTTATCCTTTCGGCAGCTCCCCTCCATTTCCTGGCTGCTGCGGCCCTGTGTCTGGCACTCACAGCTCTTCCCCATGTAGCCGGGCTGGCACCTGGGATGAGAGGGATGCAGCAGTCAGCGATGCCCCCTACAATGCTCTGGAGCCCCTCGCCCGCGGCTGAGAACTTCTCTTGTTGGGCCTGTGTTTGCATCTCCCTCAATCGTCCACTGAGCGTTTACTGTGTGCTAAGCGTGCGGCCAGGCCCAGACACGGCTCCACCCCCGACGAGGGGGCCGACGTGTGAACGTAGCACTGAATGCGGCAGCTCTGGCACTGAGCCTTGTGGCTCAGCTCTGAGACGCTGGCCCTTCCCCACATGCCTGCTTTCCTGCAGCTCGTTTTCTGCGTGGCCCCTGGCTGTTGGCCATGCATGCCTGGCCCTGCACTGGTGAGCTGACCAGGTACGTAGGCTTGCATCCATATGAGAGCGTCCAGCCGACCTCCCGCCAAACTGCCCACCGGACAGGCCTGCCCTCCCTCCACTTCGGGATGCACACACCTGACTGCATCTGGCGGCAGGGGTTGAAGGGACAAGTCCGGGGTGGCCTAGAGGTCCTGGGCTGCCTGTGGAGCAGCCACTCGTCCTGGAAGCTCTCTGGTCAAGCAGTACAGGCCCAACAGCCTCCTTTCCTTGCCCCTTGCACCCTCCGAGATGCGTCCCTGGTGGCTCAGGGTCCTCTGCCCACATGGGACCTTCCACCCTCCCCGGGGGCTGGAGACCTGGGAGAGCATGGCCCTATGTCCACGGCCCTCTCCGCCTCCCTCACCTGCAGATGCCGCACTCCACGACGCCCCTGTCGCTGCAGTGGCTGCGCCTGGAGCTGGCGTCACGGCAGTTACACTCACACTGTGGGTGCACGTGCACCGTCACCGTGTCCGTGAAGCCCAGCGCCCGGATCACAAACGACTGCTCCTGAATACACTCCGTGGCCACGACCTTCACCTGGAAGGTGATCTGCAGAGGGCGGGGAGGATGCAGGACTCAGCTGAGGCCACCAGACCCTTCCTGGTCAGCCGTGGGGGCAGTCCCGTCCTGTCCCCTGTCCAGTCTGGTAGCCTGGCTGGCCAGGCACGGGGATTGGGCCGGGATGCCGCAGTCCAGCTGTGCCAGGATGAGCCTGGGCAGGGAGGGCGCACCCTTTGCAGAGGTCTGGGGCAGGGGCAGGCTGGGGGGCAGAGATGGGCGATAACAGGAAACACACCAGCCAGTTTCCGCAGATTCTGTGGGTCTTGGAAGGGGACAGGGTGTGGGGAGGGGGATAGGGAATAATGAGAAAAGTGCCAGGTTTCTGTAGATAAGGGGGATGTGCAATGAGAGACAGAAAAGATAACGAGAGCTGGAACCTCGGAATCTGGGATGCAGGGACAACGGCAGCCTCTCTGCCCAGCACCTGGTCCTCTGCAGGGTTAGACTGAGGGTTTTGGGGGGGCATGGAATGTATCTTTATAATATTTTCCATTAGACATAAATTAAAAGGAATTTTAAAGTGACTTCAGTATACTGTAAGTCCAGTATGGGTGTCCCAGGGTGGTGCAGTTAATGTGCTCAGCTGAACTGAAAGGCTGGAGGCTCCAGTCCACCCAGAGACACTTGGGAAGAAAGACTCGGTGATCTATTTCTGGAAATTCAACCATTGAAAACCCTATGGAGCGCAGTTCTACTCTGACACACATGGATGGGGTCACCATGAGTGGGGGTCGACTCCACAGCAGATGGGTTTTTTTGTTTGTTTGGATCCAGCATGCTAAAACACCGATTCCTGTATGAAGGCCTAGGTTCTGGATATGGGGCAATATTTTAACTCTGAGTAAATCTAGCTAAAAGGAAATAGATCGCTTGCCGTGATGTCTGTATGCAGGCACAGAACAAAGCAGACGTCCCCACCACCCACGTTGCACAATTACAGTGGAGGCCGGCTCTGAATTTCAGGGGACGCAAGCTTGTCAGGAGCAAGCCACATGTAAAATAAATTTAAATGAATTTCCATACGGCGCGTCAAGATACTGCAAAGAAAAAAACAAACGGTAAGAACGAGCACAAAACAACCAGCAAGTTATGAGAAAATTGGATCGATCCTCGCGTAGGTCATCCAAGCATGAGGGGAAATATTTCAGTAAAAATTTACATGCAACACTGAGTAAGTAACATATCTGAAGGCATTCCAATGTCATATTAAAAAAATGCAATAAAAGCAACTTCATAGCAAGCAACGGGAAAAATGGAATTGTCATGGTTATAACAAATTTAAATCTAAACTATTGGGGAAATAATCCACTGCCTATTTTTATTAGCTGTGTGACCTGGGGCTTATTGCTTTAAAAAAAAAAAAAAAAAAAAAAAAAGCCAGAAAACTAAAGAAAAGCAAATTTGTACTGTTTGAAACTCCCTCCTTTGCCTGGATGCTATGCCAAAGTCTGCCCCCAGGAGACGCTGTCACTATGATGTTTTATCAGGCTATGTACCATGGTCTTCGGCGATTTCAAGGAAATTCTCCTATTGAACTGATAAGTATGGTACTGTGTGCCACGGAGCGTGCTGAGTGCTCTACCCGTGCCGTTGTCTTAAACTGTTGATGTTAGGTGCCGTCAAGTTAGTTCCAGCTCATAGCGACCCCATGCACAAAAGAACGAAATTCTGCCTGGTCCTGCGCCATCCTCAGAAATGTTGCTATGCTTGAGCCCATCACTGCAGCCACTGTATCAATCCATCTTGTCAAAGGTCTTCCTCTCTTTTGTTGACCCTCCACTCTACCAGGCATGATGTCCTTCTCCAGGAACTGGTCCCTCCTGATAACATGTCCAAAGCACTTGAAACAAAGTCTTGCCATCCTTGCTTCTAAGGAGCCTTCTGGCTGGACTTCTTCCAAGACAAGTTTGTTCATTTTTCTGGCAGTCCATGGTACATTCAATCTTCTTCGCCAACACCGTAATTCGAAGGCATCAATTCTTTGGTCCTCCTTATTCATTGTCCAGCTTTCGCATGCATGTGAGGCAATTGAAAATACCATGGCTTGAGTCAGGTGCACCTTAGTCCTCAAAGTGACATCTTTGCTTTTGAATATTTTCCGGGGATCTTTAGCAGCAGTTTTGCCCAATGCAATGCGTCTTTTGATTTCTTGACTGCCGCTTCCATGGGCGTTGATTGTGGATCCAGGTAAAATGAAATCTTGACCACTTTGATCTTTTCTCCATTTATCAGGATGCTGTTTATTGGTCCAGTTGTAAGGATTTTTGTTTTCTTTACGTTGAGGTGTAAACCATACTGAAGGCTGTAGTCTTTGATCTTCATCAGTAAGTGCTTCAAGTCCTCTTTGCTTTCAGCAAGCAAGGCTCTGTCATCTGCATATCACAGGTTATTAATGAGTCTTCTTCCAATCCTGATGCCCTGTTCTTCTTCATACAGTCCACCTTCTCTGAGTATTTGCTCAGCATACAGATTGAATAAGTATGATGAAAGGATACAGCCCTGATGCACACCTTTCTTGATTTTAAACCATGTAGTATCCCCTTGTTCTGTTTCAATGACTGCCTCTTGGTCTATGTACAGGTTCCACATAAGCACAGTTAAGCATCTGGAATTCCCATTCTTCTCAACGTTATTCATAATTTGTTATGATCCACAGTCGAATACCTTTGCATAGTTAATAAAACAAAGATAAGCATCTTTCTGGTATTCTCTGCTTTCAGCCAAGTTCCACCCAACATCAACAATGATATCCCTAGTTCCACTGAATCCAGTTTTAATTTCTGGCAGTTCCCTGTTGATGTACTGCTGCAACCACTTTTGAATTATCTTCAGCAAAATTTATTTGCCTATGATATTAACGATATTGTCCGATAATTTCTGAACGATATCATTTAGGACATAAATTTGTTGTTAATGTTGTTAGTTGCTGTGGAGTCAACCCCAACTCAGGTGACCCCATCCTCGTCACTCACACTGTGTCAGAGTAGAACTGCTCCATAGGATTTTCAAGGCTGTGACCTTTTGGAAGCAGATTTCTAGGCCTGTCTTCCAAGACGCCTCTGGGTGGGTTTGAACTGACAACCTTTTGACTAGTAGTTGAGTGCTTAACCATTTGTGCCACCCAAGGACTGTTGACGTAAATTTACACAAGTGTATTTTTGGCCTCATCAGAGAGAATATAATGGGAAGAAAACGGGTCTGGTGGGCAGAATCCTGGCTCCTTCCCCTCCCTCCCCCCATGCCTATCCCAGCCTCGAGCATCAGTTTGCCTACGTGCACTTTCCCCTTCGCTCTCACGGGGTCCCATTAGAAAATCTGGTAGATAGTCCCTTCCAGAATGCTGTACGTAGAGACTTAACAGCACCCACAGCATGAGTCCCACTCACCGGGACGTTGATCTGCACGCCATCACAGTCCCCTCTGGGCTGGTCCCGTTGTGGGACCTTCTTGCTGCAGAAGGAGTCGTAGGTGACTTTCAAGGTGTCAGGGAGGGTGCTGTGCTCCAGGAAGACTCTGGAGGAGAGTTTCTGTGGGCAGAAACGGCCGCTGCTCAGGGAGGAATGACCCTGCTGTCCCTTGCCCTCCGTCACTCACCTCTCCATTTCTCATCACCCCCAGCACTAATTAATGACCCCCACCCCCACTGAAGACTCGGTGCCAAGGAAGTTGTGAGCGCCACAGTCCTGCCCTCAAGGGCTTCCAAGCCAGCTGAGAAGAGCAGCTTGGAGACAGCAAGTGTCTCATGGAACAGGGCTCCATCCTTGTCACTCATACTGAGTCTCCACTGCCTGTGCAGTGTTTAATGAATGAGAGAGACAGAAAGAGAGAGAGAGAGACAGAGAGAGACACAGAGAGAGACAGAGAGAGAAAGACACAGAGAGAGACAGAGAGAGAAAGACACAGAGAGAGACAGAGAGAGAGAGAGAGAGAGAACTACTGGATGAGCCAATGATGGTTGCAGTATTGGTACAAAGATGGAAATACCAACAGACAACAGAGGAGCACAGGAGAGGGACAGCTTTGGGGGTTTAGGTCTCACAAAAGGCTAGAAGCAGCAAATGGAACCTCCTCATCAGGGCTCTAATTTAACTCTATGAAATCAGCATCTACTGGATGCTCCCAGCATGCTGTGGGCTGTCAAGCTACCAGGACTTCTGGGCTAGAAGAACCCCAGCCAGAAAGTTCAGACCTTTTCTTCTCTGGGGAAGAAGATTCCCCACAGTGGTCTGGACCCCTGGAGCCTGGGCCCTGAGCAGTGTCTGGGGCACCTGCATCCATCATAACTATTGAAGCCTCCTCAGAGGGAGCAGCACCGGGGTGCAGCTTGCAGGGGTGCCCACACTCGGGATAAAGATGATGGACAAGGGCCACTCTGGGCTCATCCAGGAGGGAGGCAAGGGAGCTGATGAGCAAGACATGCCAACCCTGAGAGTGTTTTTACACAGGCCTAAATGGACCTTGGTGAATGTAGCTATGCTTCCTGGAGCCCCAAATCTCCATCAGGTGCATTATCTGCCCCCTGCCATCCAGCCCTCACTTTTCTATAGAGACCAGCAGAAAAGAATTGCCAGTGAAGAGGCCTGGCGCTCGTGTTTTGGGGAACACAGAGGTGCGGGTTTGGGGTGGCTCATCCTATGCCATCAAAGGGAAGAGATGGAGCTGGGGTGGGAAGTGGCCAGGGTAAGTGGGTCCTGAAGGCCTAGGGGTGGTCCTTGCAGGGGCTGCAGAGGGCTGCTGCCCCCTGACAGGTCAGCTGGGTTCCCCGCTCCCAGGCCACTCTTTGTTGACCTGCACTGGCTCCAGCCCCAGCTCATCACCTCAGGGCAAGCCCAGCTAACATTCAAGGGAGACTCACGTTGTAGGCATCTTTGATGAGCTGGACCACGTTGCTGGAGTCCTCAGAGAGCTCGCCGACTGCTGACTTGGGGATGATCTCTGTGAGCTTCTGTTAGGAGGGAGCACCCGACACACGGCAGTGAGGACAACACCCAGAGGGCTTCCACTCTGACAAAGTGGCTCGAGAACCCTCAACCCAACTTTCTTATTTAGCTGAGAGAGCACTTGGTCAGCGGTGTGCTGGTAAATGTTCAACAACCAGCTCTCAGGAAGAAAAATCCCTGCTTTGTAAGTTTTGCTCATTCCCCTGGTGTAACTACTCCCACCTCGATTGACTTCAAGCCACCAATGTGATGTCACTGAATGCAGAGTTGGGAGGAGACACATGGAAGCCACCATTAGATAGTGTTCCCACCACACAGATGCAATAGATGTAAATGACCCAAGGCCCCAGATAATAGTAAAATGTAGAAAACCATCAAGAAGTGCTGAGTTCTCATCTGGAAGAATGTAATCGATGTCACTGAATTGTACATGTAGAAACTTTCATAATGGTGTAACTTTGGCTGTGTATATTTTCACCAAAAAAAAAGTCCTCAAGGTCAAGAAGGGAGAGTGTTGACACATCGTGGGGTTCTTAACCAATGTCATAAAACAATATGTGTAATGACTGTTTAATGAGAAACTATTTGTTCTGTAAACCTTCATCTAAAGTACAATAAAAAAATTTAGAAAAAAAGAAGTGCTGAGTTCTGAGCATTTTAATGAACTTACATAATTTAGTTTTTAACAATGCTGTGCTAAACGACAATGTGACAATTGGTTCTGGCGAGCCGCTACCAGCTGGTCCAGGCACACCCCCCGGGTGGGGGCTAGAACACCCTGAAATACAGACTGGCCACGGCCAGCAGTTGTACCACTTCCTCCCCCACACCTGCCTAGGCATCAGTTCAAAGGCCTCGCCATTCTTCACGAAGCCTTCATGATCACTTTATCTCACAGAAGAATGGATCTGATAATCAGGCCATTTCCACAACAACAATGACAGCAAAAAGAAAAAATGAAGAAAGGAAGAAAAGCGGCTCTAGGAACAGAAGAAAATTCCCCACAAAAGCTTCATGCTATAGAAGATTATAATAACAACAACAGCAATTCAATGACGTGAGGATAAGCTTGGTTCCTGAAGCAGAAAACAAATGGGAAGAAGGAAGTGCTCTCAGTATACATTAGTGGTGGTTTCCCTGGGGGAGGTGACAGATTATTGGGATGTGTGTCCTTTGTGAAATTCATCACGCTGAGCAGTTATGAATGATTCGTGTATGTTCCTGTATATATCCCACGTTGTTGTTGTTAGGTGCCATTGAGTTGATTTTTCACTCGTGGCAACCCCGTGCGTGCAGAGTAGAACTGCCACGTAAGGTTTTCTAGGCTGTGATCGTTATGGAAGCAATCAGCGGGCCTGTCTTCGGTGGAGCCACTGGGTGGGTTTGAACTGCTGTGCCACCAGCTCTTCACAAAAAATGTTTACACTCAAATATAGAAGTATCTAAAACAAGAAAGTATCCTAAAATCAAGAATTTGACCTGCAAATCCAAAATACTTGCCATGTTCTAGCAATAACGTAAATATTTTAATTGACGCTAAGACATATGGGTAGTTCTAATATTACCCAATTTCAAGGACGGGAAATAATTCCTTCGTTCATCCATACGCAAATGTTGTGCTGCGTATAAGGAAGCTTCAGAATTCTTAGCTGCAAAATTCACAGGCAAAACACCGCAGACACCAGCCGGGCCCACACACCCAGCAGGCGGAAGCAGAACTCAGGCTATGGTAACACTGGGTGTTGTCATCATTCTGCTGAAATGGCAGAAGTCCCACCCATGTTGCCCAAGATACCTGACCCCGCTTACTTCGTAGGTTGGCACCATTCTCTTAGTCACGGCGAAGATGGGCTGGATATTGCTCTCGGCCAGTTTGTGTGCCAGCTGGCCCACTGATGGGTAGTCCTGGAGGGACGAGATGCCCGGTCAGATGGCCCAAGGGTCCAGAGGGCCGACTTGGCTCCTGCCCTGCTAAGCTACTGCCCAGGGCCCAGAGGGTGTCAGCAACAGCCCTTTCTTGTGCTGTGGATGAGACTTTCTCTGAATAATGTTTATAAATACATAAAATAAAGACCGTCATGATGTTGCGTGCTGTCAAGTCAATTCTGACCCAGTTACCCAATGTGACGGAGTAGAACTGCCCCATAGGGTTTCCTAGGCTATAATCTTTATGGGAGCAGATCACCAGGTCTTTTCTCCTGAGGAGTGGCTGATGGCTTTGAACCACTGACCTTTTGGTTAGCAACCAAGCGCTTAACCAGGGCTCCTTTAAAGAGGGTCATGAAGGAAAACCAATCGTCTGGATACAATAAGAGAATATTAAGAACTGTGATGTGTGTCTCAATTACAGCAAACAGCAAATCCAGTGGCAGCAACAACTCCCAGACTTCCAAAGTAGAGAGAAGTTTAGGCCGTATTATGAGGAGCCCATGCTCAGCTTTGCCGTGGAAACCCCTCAACTTCTATCAGGATCAGGGGCTCAGGTCCCGCCCCCACCACAGTGGTTCCTACACTCCATTCATAATGGACTTAATTCCTTTCTGTCCATGTTCGTGGACCCCTGCATTCTATTCTCTGACCCCACTCCCACCCCAAGTCTGTAGGCCCCAGATGAAGAAGCCCTGAGTTGCGCCATCTCTGAAATTCTTTGTGGTGCCCAGAGTTTATGCTTCCAGGACACCAAAGCCTCAGATCCACAGCAGGCTAGAACAGAACACTGTTGATTCTCCTTATCTACAGTAGTTATGTCCTCTAAAAAGCCCCACTAAACCAAACCCACTGCCGTTGAGTCGATTCTGACTCCTAGCAACCCTACAGAACAGAGTAGAACTGCCCATAGGGCTCCCAAGGCTGCAATGTTTATGGGAGCAGATCACCAGGTCTTTTCTCCTGAGGAGCCACTGGTGGGTTCACACCGCCAACCTTTCGGTTAGCAGCTGAATGGTAAACTATTGCGCCACCAGGGCTCTTGCATCCTCTAATGTCACCGCAAATGCTGAATGAGCGAATAAGGAACCATAGCTGGACAGGAAGTACAGGGTGAGGTTCCTGCGAGCCTCTGGTCACAACATTTTCATCCACTGGTCAATACATAACCTTGTCTGATGTGTGTTTCTGTGTAAAGATACCTTATTTAACACGTGTTGTTGATTCGTTAACATTGAATTCGTGGCCTACAACACTGTAACTCATACCAGAATGAAGCCTATCTAACACACGGAATTCCTTCCTAAGGCACATCGCATCCTCCTTGCACTAAAGAACACCAGACAGCCCTTCAGCACTATGCTCAGGGGCCTTTTAAACAGCAAAATCACCAATAAAAAAACAAAAATGTGAAAAATGTGGCACTAAGTATTATATTGGAAGTACAACCAGAATGCTCCTTAGAAGGAAGGAAGGATGGTGAGACTACGCTTCATATACTTCGGACATGTTGTCAGGGGGGATCAGTCCCTGGAGAAGGACATCAAGCTTGGCAAAGCAGAGGGTCAGTGAAAAAGAGGAAGACCCTCAATGAGATGGACTGACGCAGTGTCTGCAACAATGGGCTCAAGCATAACAATGATTGTGAGCATGGCGCACGACCGGGCAGTGTTTCGTTCTGTGGTGCGTGGGGTCACTATGGTTCAGAACCGACTCGATGGCATCTAACAACGACAACAAGTAGACTGGGAAAAGGATATTTGATGACAGTCTGAGAGCTGAAACAAGAAGGCAGAGTGGCTCTTTGTTCGACCTAAGCTGGGAGCATCGGGGGACTGAAATTTTGGCTACTCTGTGCATGTCCATGATCACATAAGTGTCTCAAGTACTGATTTGGGGGTTAGAAATAAATTTTAGTGAGTACACCAAATTTGCAATACAGAATCCACTAATAATGAGGACCGACTGGCTGCGTACGGTGGGGGTATTCAGGTAGTGCCTGCACCCCCAAACCAGAGTATTCACTGACCACCCCCTATAGCGCCTCCCCTGGGAGGGGAGAATTCTCACACAGTAAGCTTGAGGACGAAGTTTGAGAAGCCTAGGACCCCCCAGCTCCCAGCTCCATTTCTGTGGGATCTCCTCAGTAATTTATCTAAATCTGAAGGAGGGATGCAGGCTCCCCAGGCCCTGCAGATAGCAAGGCAGCCAGCTGTAATGACCCCGCTGTCACCCTCGCCCGCCCGCCCCCCTGCCTGTCCTGGTGCGGAGCTCAACTCAGCTGGGCGTCCCCACTGGGCACCGGGCTGCTGGCGAGCCTCAGCAGGGCACCCCTGAAGGACCCTGAAGGGCAAGGACTTACAAATTCGTTGCTCCTTTTGTACATGTTGTCCTCCAGGTGACAGTGACCGTCGTTGGGGGTCAGGATGGCACCCAGCTTCCCATCCCCGGCAATGTGGAAGCCGTCATCCGTGGCGTATACCAGCAGGCGTGTGACATTGCGCCAGCCAATTTTCTCCTAGGAAGAGAGCGGCTGCAGTTGCCTGACTCAGTTTCCCCAGCTCATCCCCAGGGCACCCCTTCCCAGTCCTGGGTTTTCACGGCAGGAGGACTGAGAAAGTGAGCGGAGGTCACCGGGCACAGCTCACCCAACTGTGGGTTCTCGGTGTCTGCTCCAGAATAGGGCGTGGAGGACACTCGAGAACTGTTTGTCAAGACCACAGCCTTAAAATGTCAACTAAATCGATATAGGAAGGTGAGGGAGATTGAAATGCATATTTAAATTAAAAAAAAAAATTCTCCATAGCCCCCAAATTTCAGACTGGGAACAAATCCTAAGAAAATAATCCTAAAGTAGAAAAACTATATATAAAAAAGGAAAAAAATATATATGCAGAAATGTTTATTACAACATAAAACATTATAAATACAAAATAAGATATAACCTCAGCAACACTACAACAGGGGAGTTAAATGTCCTGGGACATTTCCTTGAAGAAATGTGTGTTTAGCAGCACACAAACCAATATTATACAAACGTTTACAAATGTATCTATAAAATGCTTACAAAGTGCCTAGGGATTGGCAGAGAAGCTGGAGAATTCTCTAGTGGTTTATTATAGCTGCAGGTTCGCTCAGATTCTAACACTGGGGGTGTGGGTTGTTGTAGCAATGATGTTATAAATACCACAGATGGAACAAAGAGGGTGGCTGAAAGGTGGGGGGATGAGGAGCAAGGGAGGAGCATGGAGGGGCCGGAGGGGGCGAGCAGCTGGAGATCTACCACCCACCTGACCCTCGTCCTTGGGGGGCACCTGAGGATGGGGGGATTCCACCTCAGGACCCACAGGGTCAAGGCCCTCAAGTGGCCTCGATTCACATGTGATCATGTGCATAATATTTAGGCTTCCGGAGACTTTTCCAGGTCCCAAGGTTAATTTCTGGTTTGTAATGGAATCTGTGGATGATACATAGGTGCCCACCTCCCGTTGTCACCCTCACTCCCTTGCTCTCTGGAGGGGTCCTGGGTCCTGGGCTGGCATTGGGGCTGGAGCAGGTAAGGACAGTGGCCCAATTCCCTAAAAGGATGTTCTGGGCAGTGTGAGTGGCCCCACACCGCCCCTGAGGCTCCCGGTTGGAGGGATCAGAGACCTGGGTGGGGGGAGCCTTACCGGGCATGCGGCAACCTGCATCATGGCGTCCAGGCCACCCTCGGGGGCGTCCAGGTTCCCGGAAATAGACTGCTTCCCGACCTCCGTCTGAAACTGGTTGGAGTTGTCGGTCAGCTTCAGCACATGCCGGAAGGCAAATGGGGGCTGGCACGCCTCCTTCTTGTCAGGGCATGGGTTCTTCAGCTTCTCGGGGTGCGTGTTGACAAAGGGCAACACCGTCTTGTCCACAAAGGAGCCAAAGCCTGAGGGGTACACAGTGTGGGGGGGACACACATAGTGTGAGGGGGGACACACAATGTGAGGGGGGACACGCGATGTGAGGGGGGCATATGGTGTGAGGGGGAACAAGCAGTTTGAAGGGGACACACAGTGTAAGGGGGACACATGGTATGAGGGGGGACATGTGGTATTAGGGGATGCACAGTGTGAGGGGGGACACACGGTGTGAAGGGGACAGGTGATGAGGGGACATGCAGTGTGAGGGGGTCACGTAGTGTGAAGGGGACATGCGGTGTGAGGGGGACAGATCATGAGGGGACACGCAGTGTGAGGGGGACACGTGGTGTGAAGGGGACATGCGGTGTGAGG